TCATTGAGTAAACAAAATTAGTTTCATCAATAAGTTAAACAAGCAACTCAAGCAAAGTCAACAATAAGAAACCAGCTAAAACAAACTATATTTTGTCATTACTTAAAATCAGCTATTTCCATCTAATATATAGCTCAGATTCAGTCACCGATAAGAAACAAATGAATATACAAGGGAAAGATGAAGAAGAAAGATGGGAAAAAGAGCACAGAAACTCACCATCTCAAAGAAAATTAGATCCCAATATTCATTAGTGAGCGTCTGACCAACTACAAGGGCGCCTGCAGAAATGTTGAAAATGGACAAGTATGAAAACACTAGAAATAAAAATCAATTGAGATTAGAATCAAAAACAAATTTTAACATAGAATAGCCACAACAAAGACTAAAAGGGATGAGAGATCCAGTGCAAATGCTCACCAGTCGATAATATCAGCATGCTTCAAAATTGCAGGTATTGCAATGCTTCCAACCGTTGAAGTCCTAGTTAAAAATTTAGTCGCATTCACCTAGCTATTTCGTTAGTCGTTAAAAATAAACGTGTTATAGAGCCTAGGCATGGATTCTAATTGTCAGTGATTCAGAATGAAGTATGATGATCAGAAACAAACTGTCTCCAGTTTCGGAAGATGGCGGAGGAAGTATTGAAACCAGCAAAAAACAGCAAAGGCATTGGGAGAAGAATGTACATAATCACTGCAATAACAATGGAAGAAGATTATGATCAGCGAAGTTATTTTTTAAATTGACATGATTTTTATTACATGCAAGAGTAAAGATGGCTATCTATTGTCCCCAAAAAGTACTAGAAGGAAGTAATTGTCTTTACAAAAACAACCCATGTTACATCCTATTGACACAAACCAGAATGACTGTTTTTCTACAAAATCTTCCAGTAATATAGCATGACCACTGAAGCAAATTTGGTAATCAACTGCTGAGAAAGTTTCAAAGATATAACACATTTGGTTATAGCAGACATTTTTCAATCTTACCACTCAGCAATGGCCACTAGTTATTGTACAAAGCACATGTAATGAATTAAGAAACTTAGAGAGGAATTAGTAAAAGATCCTACGTAATTAAAGCTGATGTGAAAGCTTTACAATATCAAAATGGTGGAAATATTGAGAAAATATTTAAGAAAGACTCTACTAACCAAAAACTGCAATACAATCCCTCCAAAAACCAAGACTCCTAATGTTACAAGTTTGCTCGTGCAAGCAGTATCCCAGGTTTGCCATCAGGTAGCTCTCTTCATTTTATTTAGGAAAATAGCTGAAATATACACATTTCCAAAATTAAGGATCAAAAGTAATAGCTGAAATATATACATTTCCAGGATTAAGGATCGAAAGTAAGGCAAGAGGTGCCGGTATGGAGAATGGATAATTCCAGTGGATGATGAAATGGTAGACTTGTAAATCCGTGATTGAAGGACGGTTATAGTTTTTCATTTTCAGTACTAGTAATTTTCTTCAGTTTTATCCATACATCACATTGTTTCAATTTTAGAAGTTGCGTCTTTGCCAAAGCTAGACAAAAAGTAGTTTGCAAGTTATTTTCTAATCTTTTTGGTGTTTCCCCATCTCAAACAGGCTTAGAAAGTGAAATGAAGCCTCGAAAGCACGGCGAAATGACTGGCCAAACGAGAAACAAATCAAGAATTCCAAATATATGAATGAAAATTTGTTACCAACTGGCAATTGAGATCAACTCTCAAATGAACTCGAAAGTAAAATGAAATCCAAACTAAATACCAAGGTTTTCCCAATTTTAATGTAACATAATTCCAGGTCTACTTCATTAATTTATCGAGTTATAATCAGAAGAACATTCGCCATCGAAGCAAACAGGAACAAAGGCAAAAAAGGGAGAATACCTGTACTTTTCCATCAAAAATAGCAGACAGCGACTAGATCACTAATCACTTCAACTCCAATGAAATTGAAGGCTCTGAAAACGATTAGAGGAACAAGTATTCAAACTGGTTCGGAATCTGTGATGAACATAGAGTAAGATGATGGAATTGGATACAAAAAGTATTATGAGTATCCATCAAAGTATGAATTTCAAAATCTACCATGTTTATAGAACACATATTTGCAAAACTATCAAAAATGTTTCAGAAGTACAGTGGGTGGAGAAGAAAGGTAAAACAAGAGAGTGAAATGAACATATACTTATATACAATTAATAAGGGAAAAAATGCAACCCAAGAATTGAAAATTTGGAAAGTATACACCATCCTCATCATTATCTCAATACATATCATTATCTCAATACATACATTTGGAATGTCATAAAAAAACTTCACACATTATGCTGAAATAGAGAGTTCAGAAAACTTATTACCAATGAAGAATGGTATGTTGTTCATCCTCCTTTAAAACTCAAGGAACCCCCAGAACCCGAAAAATAACAATAACAAAAAAGCGTATGAATGTTTTTATCTTTTTGTCCCTTATAATTTTAATTTGGATGGAGTTGAAGGCAACGAAAATTAAACTAACTAAAATCACTGTTGGGTTTGTCGCTGCTGCAGAGTTCCGTTGAATCTGGCGTCGCGTTGGTCAATCTGCCCCCCGCTGTTCAAGACGCCTCCTGCTGCTCGTCACCGTTGCGGCAGAAGATGAGTTCACCCCACCTGCTGCTATGGCGCCGCCGTGAAGATTCGTCGCTGCAAGATCTGGGTTCGAGGGGTGTGGGTCGCCGTTTGGAGATGCCGCCAGGTAGAGAGAGATTGCAGGAGAGAGAACGAGATTGAAGAGAGAGTGAGATGGAGAAAACGGGGCCTATAGTGAGGAAAAGAAGGAAGAAAGATTAGGGTACGAGAACTTAACCATTATTTAAATCTTTTTGGATTGATGAAAAAAAATCCATGGAAAACTGACTTCATCAGGAAAAGTCACTTTTAGTGACGTTTTATCAGACCTCACTAAAATATAGTTTTCCAACTTATAGTGACGTATAAACAACCACACCTAAAGCCTTACCTTTTCACGAATAAGCCAGGAATCTTCTTATCGTATTGTGACAATTATAAAACGTCACAAAAAAACAATATTTCGTGACGTTTTCTACCCATCATGACAAAGCCGCCAATTTGAAGAACTCCGTCTTTTCCCGCCAAAAATGCGCCTCAAGTTTTTCTTAACGTTTTTGATACGTCACGAAAAATAAGTTTTGGGCAACTTATCGTGACCGATAAAATTCGTCAAGAAAACGCAACAATCCGGAACACTTCGTTATTTTTCGTCAAAAACGCGCCTCAATGTTTTCGTGACGGAAAAAAAGCGTCACGAAAGTCCAAAAATCCGGAACTCTCCGCTTTTTCTCTCCAAAAATGCGTTTTTTACCTTTCGTGACGTATTTTAACAATGTTGAACAGTATTTTACTATTTACTACCGTCAAAAAATCCCAAAATTCTAGTAGTGGTTCCAAATGGAATAGTTCCTTGATAGGTTTGCTAATAGTTTGACGTACCTTTTCAGTAAATAATTTTGGTAATCTTGAAAATGAATTTTTCTTTCCAATAATGGTGATTGTAGTCCGTTCGTGTAAAAACCTTATGAAGGAAAATATCTTTATAGGATCGGAAATCTAGAAGATTTGGGCAAGTAAGATTTGTAAGAATTTTATAAGTCCTTTCCTAAAATCTAAGAGGTTCACCTTTAAAATTTTTATGATTGTATATACTAATGTTGCAAAAACTTCTTGAGTTTGACTTATCAGAACCATCTTGTTCAACCTTTGATGGCGATTAATATTTTGTCACCTTGGGATACATAGTTATCCCATTATCCTTTGAATTTTCCCGTAAATCAAGAAGTTAAAATGTTAACAATTTAATGTCAGTATTAAGTGGCTGCTAGGGTCATTTATGTTCCATTCCGGTTGGGTCTTTCTTTATACTACATAGGAAAAAAGGGTCTAGGATAATTGTTTTTTTTTAGTTTTGCACAGTATTCAAAATGGCGTTCGATACGTCGAGCAACATATCACCGTGTCGTAGAGCTTAACATCAACACATGGGGTAAAAGTTGTTTTTCCCTCTTATCAAGGATATATAAAATATCGTCAAAATATCACAAAATTATCGGCGTTTCAACGATATTTCGTAGTTAAAAAAAAAATTTGGGCTCATAAACATGGGCCTAGCCCATCCATAATTCAGAAGTTGATGAGTAAATTATCGGGAAATCCTTAGGAATGGCTACTCATATCGTTAAGCAAAATGGCCAAAGTTTTTCTAGATTGTCTGGCATGGCCAAAATTTGTTTCCTAAAATTTGGGAGTATATAATTCCTTATTTATCCCTCCACACATTTCATGTCCATATTGCCCTTGCAATCTTTATCATTTTACCCATCCACGTTTTAGGCCCCCCACATCCCCTTAAATCGATTCCTAACTAACAATGTTATAGACTTAATATTGAAACCACCTTAACTACAAAATCTACATAATTCCTAAAATCTTTCCACAAAATTTAAAGCACAAAATCTACCTATATCATACTTAATATTGAAACCACCTTTAACTACAAAATCTATATAATTCCTAAAATCTTTCCACAAAATTTAAACTACCAAATCTACATATATGATTGAAACAAGTTTAAAATGTGTTTTATTTTTTTAAACAAACTTTTGGTTTGAACATTCCACTGGAATCATACACAAGGTATCATTAATCCCCACCCATTTTATTTTTACATTTTTTCAAGAATTAAATCAATCAATGTGGGAACATTATGCGATCATTGTTAGCCACCGTTTTAGTTGGGAGGAGCACAACAATTATCAAGGGTTCATTACCGGGCACGTTTCAATTCCATTCGATTCCACTCTACAACAACTCTGTGAATGTATCTCTAGATATCTTCATTTTCTAGAAGGAAAAAAAATTACACGTCTTTCACTTTTTAGAAATTGTGCTGGCAAGTCGATAATTATGAGGCTGTTATAAGTAGATAGGGACGTGGCGTGTGCCATATCCCTATTGGCGGATGTCAAGTGCAGCAACTAGTTGTAAATACTAACCCCGTATCTAACACCATCTACAGGGGTAGTGAAAGTTCAGAAGCCGAAAATAGATTGAAAACTATCTGTAGAAAATAGCCATATTTTGCATCACATAATCTTTCTTTATCACTGGGTCGGAACAAAGATCAATGCATAAAATATGGTAAAAAGGTAACCAAAACCAACAAAATAAAAAATGCATATTAGCAATCAAGGAAACATATATTAATATTTACCTAAGGGGAAATACGATGGATGTGTAAATATATGGCTACTAGAGGTTATCTCACAAAATAAGCAAGAGACGTCAATACAACGAGATTGATTTCAATGGATTTTGTACCCGAAAGCTTCAAGGGATTTTGCAGAAAGAATGCCAGAATCTAAAAATTGGGATTTTGTACCCAATTTGAAATCACACAGGATTTCAATTGAAGGTTCAAAATTGAAATTACACAATCACCTAGAATTTCAATTTTTGATTTCAAGGGATTTTGCCTAAAGCTATGCACCCATTGAAATCAAAGGATTTTGATTTCAACTAGAGGAATCAGAGATCACGAAGCTAGGAGATTGTGTACTCCAAGAGGGGCACCGAAAGCTTACCCGAAGGAGGTTCTTTAAGTTTTGGCAAGAGTTGGAAGAGGGATGTCGAAGATTGTGTACGCCGAAGAGGGATGCTGAAAGCTTGAGGCGCACAAGACTTGAGGGGCTTGAGACTTGATTGAATCAAATTTTATTTATTTTTAGGAAGGAAGAGTTAAAGGCAAGTGTGGGAAGGAGGAGTCAAGGGCAAAAGTGGGAATGAGACATTTGAGTTGCATTTCCTTCCATAATGGATCTTAACATGGTATTAATCTTCAACTACTCCATCTATATTTTAAAAAACAGTATTTTACAACTTCAAGCTTTATTTTTCCACTTTTCTAATTTGATTTTACGTTTTTTTAGTCTATTTTACACTTTGATTCAATCTTTTTTTTTATTGCAAAGTATGCATTCAGTAGATTTTATCTTACATTTTTTTAAATTTCTAAATCTAGATATTATTTAAAATTTTTGAATGGTATAATTTTGATTTACTATCTTGTTTCCTAGAATTTAGGTGTATTAAAGATTTTGATGATGGGTATTTTCGTCACAATTTTATAGGGGTAGTGTCAAGATAAATTTACCTATTTTGATTGGAGGGTAAATTTGTCCACATAAATCTCGTAGTTCAAACTCTAACTGTCTTTTAGCCATTTTCGTGATATCTGATTATTTTGGCCATTTTTCAAATCAAACTATTTAATATAGTCATTTCTTTAGTTGCCCCTAAATTATCGAGGGGAGGGGGTTTTATAGGAGGCAGTCCCCTCCCCGCCTCGATTTCATATATCTGAGACTGCGTCTCCTCCAACCTTTTTTTTTCTTTTCTTTTCTTTTTTTTTTTACAATTTTCTTTTAAATGTATTTTTAATTTTTTTTAATAAATATTTAAAATACCAAAACTTAACCTGTGTTATATTCATTGCTACGACCCCATGAAATTAACAATTAATAAGTAAAGTTAATATATAAAGCAAAATATTATTAGCATAAGGTTTATAATAGCATAAATTAACTATGATATCAATATACATAATACATTTGTCTAATATAAATTTTTATTTGTATAATTATTTGTACCATCTATATTATCAAATGTTTCATCTCATATGATATTGCTTCCATCGTGGTTTTTTCTAATCATCCATTCGTGCAATAAAAAATTTACTATATTAGAAATTATCAATAAAACATAGTCAAGCAACATTAAACTTTAATTTATTAATTCAAATAATTTCCATTAGTTTTCATAATTTTGTTAGGACATTTTTATTGCGACGATATTTCCAGAAGTATATTACTTATATATTTAGATATGATAGTTAAAAGTGATCAATTATAGACTAATTAAGCTATCATTAAAGTTTTATTCACTTATTCAAAAAACTTACATCAATATCCACAATTTTCGTAATTTCTCTCAAAATATCCGTCGACATCAACATATCCGTAAAATCTGGACCTCGATATTTCCAATGACATTGACATTTTGAATTTGGATTTCCTATTTTCGGGAGAGTAAGATTATTAAATCGTTCTTATATATTGTCTATATTGTCTATATGATTCCCAAGGGATAACTTGGGTGGTTTAGAGCCTCAAGGAATATCTTCATTGGGTAAGTTACTCATAATTTTACATCAATGGCGAAATATATATATATATATATATAGTTTGAAAAAATACCTCAAATTAAAATTAGAGTAAAGGAATGTCAGTTTCAACTACATCCCGAAGCTAAACAGGAAAATCAAAAGACCACTCTTCACTCACATCACTGTTCATCGCCCTCCTCGCCAACTCATGGGCAACAACGTTCTTCCCTCTTCTAATGTGGGAAATCGATTCAACCCCTTTCTCTTCCGCTAAGGTCACAGCTTTTTCAACGAGCCAGATAATTTCTGTCAAGTTGACCTCCTCCTTTTTCATCAACCAGATTGCGTCGATTGATTCCAATCAAGGTAAATTGGTCTTTTGTTTTGCATATTGATAGAACGAAGCCAATGGATTATCGCCATTAATTCCAGAGCTTTTATTTCTTTCTTCTCCCTGATTTTGCAATTTTAAGCCAAGATAATTTCTCCCCTCTAGTCGCAAACAAGCCAACCCATGCCACCTATTTCACGCTCCTCACTCCACGCCGGGTCGGAGTTGACTTATCAGCAATTGGAAGGTAAAACTACACTTTGTTTCTAAATT